CCCCCCACCCCCCCCCCCCAGCCCCAGAAAAAAGTAAACAGTACACTTTTCCCGGATCGCTACATCCCCTTTCACCCAACTGCACTTTGTGTAGGCCTACCTTGTTGTTATAGAGCGACGACTGGTTGCTGTTGTTGAAAGTGGGAGGGTAAAATAATTCCTCCACGAATTCCTTCGAATTAGCCAATCAGAGGTCGCATTTTTCAAAGTTTAAGTAAAGAAACTTCAAGTTTTACTCTGATGACACCATTATTACTCAATCTGTTTTAACAATCCAGTCAGGTTTTTCAGTATGAAAGAAATTTCTGAGGCCTCGGTTAAATTTTCAGGATGAAAATACAAATATTTAGGTTTTAAAGTCTTGAAATATGAAATAACTTTGATTCCCAATGAAATATGGAATAACAAATAACTGAATACCTCTTTAAATGTTGTGTGAGAATTATCTACTTGATAACAGCATTGACTCAAGTGACTATTGATCTGTAGACCTGTTAAAATACCAACCATATTACACCTGGGTCGTTCTTTTAATTTTTCCAATCTTTTTAGGGGGTTTGTAGTGTATAAGGCATAAACAATTTTATAACAGCCTCGGATTGGAGTTCATAGATTAGGTCAAGGTCGGAATGAAAACATGGCGTCTTGTCTCGTGTGCTCTCTCGGTCTAGCGTCAGGTCGCAGCGGATCTTTGGCATCGCGCGTGCATACAAACAGGGTATTAAAGGCTTTTCATACTTCATGTTTAGGAAAAATACCAATAGCATAAAATCAACCGCAAATACTTTTGGCATCAAATAACAACATAATTTAACAACATAACAACACAATAATAACAAATCATCTCAAAAAAATAGATGAGAGCATCAAATAACAACATAAACATGCTTTTATCTATATTGCTTGTTCCACATATACTTACCAGGAATTCTTCCTAAGAATACTAAACCATTGTTTTGTAGACCATTTGAGATTTTGTTCGTTCTTCAATTTTTATGCCTGCAGCTAACATGTTTACCGAAAAATTATTCTTATCTTGAAAATGTTGTTTTTGATCATAACTTTGAATTCAGTATGGCACCAATAAGTAATAATTAAAGTGAATATAAAGTAAACAAAAGATCAAACTACAAGGCAATTTTATGAAAAGCCACGAACACGCAACCGTAAAGAGAATTTGGTCCACTCTGTTTTTTTTTCAAACTCGATGAAATTTTAAATCATAAAAATATAGGCCATTGGAAACATTCTTGTAGTTGACCTGCAGCATTTATTTTGATTTCTTCTTGACAAAATCGTAAAAGTTGATTTCATTTAGTTTTAGCTTCTTCATTTAGTTGAAAAACTTGGAGAAGACCAGTATACCACTTTCATTAAAGAGAGATTAGATGGAAATTAAAAAATCTTCACGACCCGATAAATCTAAATAAACTTGCCCTCTTCCACCAATCAGGGAAGTATCCAAGTCAAAGTACAAATAGCTTCTTTGAAAATCAATTGCCACTTGTTTTCAAGATTGCAAAGCGCTTGCCTTGAAAAAAGGATAATGATGGAAGATGGACGAACATTGTGGGCACTACTTCCAGACGCATCTAAATCCTCTAGGGAGCTTATAAAGTGTGGATGCACCAAAGCCTGTCGAGGCTTTGGCACAGCTAGAATGCACTGCTCTGTGCAAGTGTAGTGGACATTTTTGCTCATGACATTTGAAGTAACATCGTGTTTAGTTGTGTGAAATTTTGGTTGCTAGAAGAAATTCAGTTGCGATGACGTCACTGTAACATCACTATGAACAATTTCAAAGGTTTAAACCAAGCATATGTATTTTAATTAAGAAAAAATAAAAATAATCTGGAAAAATCTTTTACGTTTAGAAAATAAAAAAATGATCATAAACAAGCAATGAAATGTCACACGAAAGACACCTCATTATGACGTCATAGGAAATTATTTCGAACTGAGCCTATATCTTAAAATGATCAGCATATTCTTTTCTGTACTTAGGCCGATTCCCATGCTTCAATGCCAGAACCCAGAATTTTGCTAATTGTCAACTCGAATCTGTCTGACTATTAGTCGCGCGACTTTGTGAAATAGAATAATGCGACCAGCATGAGTTGAACTACTCGGCGAATGGTCGTATTCGCAGCGAATGAAGAAGTTCACCTTGCGCATGTTCCAATGTGCATTCGATCAGTCGCGCGACCAGAGCGAATCAAATGGAAACGGGCCTTAATGCGCATATGCCATGGCCTTAAAACGGGGTTACTCATTTCACATTCAAGAAGTTGCTGCATCTCATCTCCCCAACAAGGTTGTGTGCCTTAGGTTGCATAATATGAATCAGGTTGAGTCGTTTTACATGTTTCTTTGTCTTGGTTGGCATATTTGAATTCAGTCATTTTTGTTTAAAATCACCCACTGATGATAATGCTATCACTGCTTGACATATACTCTGTGGTTGAAAAGAGCAAGAAAGGGCTTAAAAAAGCATTGTCATAAAAAGCTACAGTTGGATGCGAAGTGATTTTACAACAAGTCATGGAGGCCTTTAGATGTTGGTAAGCCCCGCCCCAGAAACACAAATTACAATTGTCACTGGCGCACGGGTACTTATAATGCTAATCAAGAGATGTTACTTTTTGGCTGCCGTATGTTTGCATAAATAATGATAATAATAAAAAATTTGTTTAAAGTTGGCGTACTAAATGAACGTCTAATATTTTACACCACCTTGGCAAGTGAAGGTTCGTTGAAAGGTTACAGACGGGATCCTCGCCAATAACCTCTAAGTGGCAAATATATGAGAAGCTCACCTCTTGCGGGAAAAATGGAGCAATCATTGAAAAGGAACACAACGATAAAAACCACTGCAAGGAAAGGCAAACCAGAATGGTTGTTTTTTTCCATTTTGCACAAGGAATCTTGTTCTTGTCAACGTTTTCGGTCACTTTCTTCCACGGGCTCTCTTCCATTTCTGACAATTCCTCTCGAGAACCATTTTTAGATGTAGGGATCAATGCTTCACGTTCAAAGTTTTTAGACTTTCTGTACTCATTATTCGATTGGCTTAACATGACTGAGTTGTAACTTTAAAGCTAGTAACAAATGTGTCCATTTTCCTGCATGAACGGTGAGAAAACTGCACCAATTTTTGTATATGATAAAGCTCACTTAGAATAACAAAGGAGGGACGCATTTGCGCATGGACCGTA